GGCTTGGGCGTGTCTGGCGGAGAAGATGAAGGGTCGGAAAGCATGGTCGAACGTGTGACAGCCCCTGGAGGTTAGTTGGATGACTTTATATCGCATTGGGTGGAGGATGGTGTCTAGTACGTTGTGGTATGATGTTGGGAACTACGCCATTGACCTGCTACTAATACCGCCTGAAGATGCATGTAATTTAGGTCGACAGGGGGCGGAAAGGTAGCAGGGTAGACGCACCATGCCACATCATAGAGATATCGCAATGGGGGGGTGACAGGATACGGGTGCGTCTACTACGTGAATGCGTGGGTGGACGCAAGGCCGCAGTCCGCAATCCCTCTTTTGCGGGCGCTCTACGCAAGCTGCGGTCTGGCGCTATCTGGACCAGGCACAGACAGCATCAAGTTGGGTACGATATACCCGCTGGGTGCGCATGGTACTCGGCTGACAAGGCCACGGTCGGACACGAGTTATTTGACTGTCCGAGGTTCTACCAGGACACCCTTCATGCGGACATCCAGTGGGACCCCAAGTTACACCACGTCTACAAGTATCTGAAGAACCGTGGGTTCAATTTGAGCCCTCCAGACTGGGATTGGATTCAAATATACATGTGCATGCCGTTGTGCCCGAAGTTCCTCCCATGAGTTCCTCATGAGGCCTCGGTCACGTTCTGGGGCGATCGGGAGTACGATCGGATGAGCTGGACGACGGTTGTGTACACGGATGGGTCTGGCATGGCCCCGTCTTGGCCAGAACTACGTAGATGTGGGTGGGGGTTCTGCCAGTTGGGCGATGGGCTCCCAATGCGCGCTGCTTATGGTCCGCTTTCGGGACGGATTTAGACGGTGGGCCGAGCGGAGCGACTGGCGCTGCTGTATCCAGTCAAGCTCCCACCTGCAGTGTCGCTGATAGTGACGGACCTCTCGAGCTTGGTTCAGGAGGGATTGTCCCAGGCAGCCCTGCATGCGGACGCCCAATCACAGTATGCCGACCTCTGGCGTGGTGGTTGCATTATGTTGCAGGGGCGGCAACCGCCACATTTTTATTGGTGTCCTGCCCACAAGACCGAGGCAGAGTTCCTTGAAATGAATCGACAGCCCTGGAACTATAGTCTGGGCAACGAGTGGGCCGATTACGTTGCCAAGGCTGGCGCTTCATCCTATGATGTGTCCTGATCGCTGGTGATGCCGTATGAGAGTATGCGTCGAGACGCTCGAAAGGAGGCTAAATTCATGGTATGGTGTGCGTGTAAGATGGCCCACCGTGACGAATTGGGTGATCGGCCCGCGCGTGCTCTGCCTGTCCAGGCCCCCGTGGCTCCTGTAGCGCTCTCGAGGCACAGTGTGGTGATTAGGGGGCCCATTTTCCAATTTAAAGAGTGCGTGGCTGTTGCTAGGACCCCAGCTAGCCTCAACAAGATGATGCGTACCGAATGCGTGCCCACGGACTAACAGAGGCTGAAGGCCCAAGGGGGCCTACAACTCCAGAAGGCCCCTCTCCTTCGAAGGACTCGGCCGCCTGGTCGTCCTCCTCCTCCTCCTCATCCTCCTCCTCCGCCTCCTCCTCCTCATCCTCCTCCTCCACCTCCTCCTCCTCCTCCTCCTCCTCCTCCTCCTCCTCCTCCTCCTCCACCTCCACCCCCCCTCCTCCTCCTCCCCTCCTCCTCCTCCCTCCTCCTCCTCCTCCTCCTCCTCCTCCTCCTCCGCCTCCTCCTCCTCCTCCCTCCGCTCCTCATCCACCTCCTTCTCCTTCTCCTCCTCCACCTCCTCCTCCTCCGCCAGCTCCTCGCATCTCCTCTTCGCCATCCACCTCCTCACCACCACCACCACCATCACCGTCATCGTCACCGTCGTCGTCATCGCCATCGTCAGCAGCAGCAGCAGCAGCATCATCATCATCATCATCATCATCATCATCATCATCATCATCATCATCATCATCATCATCATCAGCATCATCATCATCATCATCATCATCATCATCCTCATCATCAGCATCATCATCATCATCCGCATCAGCATCAGCATCAGCAGCAACATCAGCATCATCCTCCTCCTCCTCAACCTCCTCCTCCTCCTCCTCATCATCATCATCATCATCATCATCATCGCCATCATCATTCCTCAGCAGCAGCAGCATCATCATCATCATCCTCAGCAGCAGCAGCAGCAGCATCACCATCAGCATCATCATCAGCATCATCAGCATCATCATCAGCATCGGCATCATAATCATCATCATCATCAGCAGCAGCAGCATCATCATCAACAACAACATCGTCGTGATCATCATCATCATCATCATCATCATCATCATCATCATCATCATCATCATCATCATAATCATCATCATCGTCATAATCATCGTCATCATCAGCATCATCGTTATCATCATCAGCCGCATGATCATCATCAGCATCATCAACATCAGCATCATCATCATCATCAGCATCATCATCATCATTGACCGCATCGTCATCATCATTAGCATCATCACCACAATCATCAGCATCATCATCAACATCGTTATCGTCATCAGCAGCAGCATCATCGTCGTCATCAGCATCATCATCAGCAGCATCATCAGTATCAGCATCATCATCAGTATGGTCATCAGCATTAGCATCAGCATCATCATCAGCATCAGCATAATCATGAGCATCAGCATCATCATCACCCAACCACCACCACCATCATCAACATCATCATCCGAATTAGATTCAGCATCACCATCATCATCATCATCATCATCATCATCATTCCTAGCATCATCATCAACATCATGATCATCGTCATCATCACCATCATCGTCATAGTCATCGTCATCATCATCAGCATCATCATCAGTTTCAGCATCATCATCGTCGTCACCATCAAGAACTTCAGTCGCATCATCATCAACATCATCATCACCATCATCATCAGCATCATCATCGTCATCGTCGTCGTCGACATCGTCGTCGTCATTATTACCTTCACCATCCTCATCATCGTGATCAGCATCATCATCAGCATCACCATCGTCGTCATCATCAGCATCATCAGCAGCATCATTATCCTCATCGTCATCATCGTCATCATCCTCGTCATCCTTGTCATCGTCATCATCGGCTTCATCATGATCATCAGCATCATCAGCATCTTCATCAACATCATTATCATCATATTCGTCATCAGCATGATCATCACTCGCATCATCATCAACATCAGTATTATTATTATCCTCATCGTCGTCGTCGCCATCGTCGTCATCAATATTATCACTCATCATCACCACCACCACCGTCATAATCCTGATCATCATCATCATTATCATCGTCATCATCATCGTCATCATCATCACCATCATCGTAGGCATCATCATCAGCACCACATCCTCATCATGATCATCATCATCATCGTCATCGTCATTGTCATCGTCATCGTCATCGTCATCATCATCACTCCTTCTCGTCCTGCAGAGACCTGATGGCACTCCGTGCAGCATCTGTCCCCCGCCCCACTCGACCTCGGAGCTCCGCTGCGTCCACTTGGGGAAACTTTGCAGACGAGATTGTGTAAGACGACCCCTGTCATCGGTGCTGGACGAGACGGACGAGGATAAGGAGGAGGCAGCAGAAGGAGGAGGATAAGGCTAAGGAGGAGGAGGAGGAGGAGGAGGAGGCAGCGAAGCAGGAGGAGGAGGAGCCGGAGGAAGAGCAGGAGCAGGGGGTGAGGGGCAGACGCAGGGGGTGAGTGCAGCAGGAAGGGGGAGCAGGATCGGGAGAAGGCAGGGCGCGGGAGGAGGGAGGAGCCCGAGGAAGAGCACGAGGGGGAGGGTAAGCAGGGGGGGCAGGAGGGGGAAGTGGCGGAGGGGGGAGGAGGGGCATGAGGAGGCGGTGCCCAAGCAGGGCCCATGTTGCAGTGTGTGCGCCCACTCCTGCCTCGGTGAGCACCTGGAACTCCTCGTCCATCCCTTCCCTCCCCTCCCTCTCAATTCTGTCCTCCCTGTCGCACCCCGAAGCCAGTCGGCAGGGCGGGCCCGGCGTTTCGCCTGAGACTTCCGTACCACTTGCGAACCTGAAGCTTCAAAACCGGCACCAGTTTCACAGATGGGAGGGCAAGTCGCTTCCAAGACGTGGCTCCCGCATGAGCGTGGCGCATTTTCATCTTAACCGTGTGCAGGAGCTTTACGCATTGAGGGCGGGTGGCTTTCCACATGTGGATCTCGCCTTAGCGCAGCGCACATTCGTTTCAGATATTTGCAAGAGATGCACGCGTTGAGGGTGGGTGGTTTTCAAAATGTGGCTGTCGCATTAGCGCCGCGCGCATTATTTTCAGCTCCTTTCCAGCATGTGGCTGTAGCCTTAGCGCCGCGCACATTCGCTGTAACAAATTGCAAGAGTTTCACTGACCCTCACACCAAAAATAGCCTTTTGATCGATTCAAGATTGTCAGGGCGCAACATTTGCGTTGATTCGCGGTGTTGGCATCTCAGGAATGGTGTTCTGGCACGATTCAGGGTCAAGACGCGACAGTCAGGTTGACTCGTGGCGTTGAAGTCCTGAGAATGGTGTTAAGGCACGCTTCAGGATTTTCACGCGGTTGTCCCCCAACGGAGCCACCCCTCGTAAGGGCCTATGAAGAGGGAGCTTGAAGGGTGTATTCCAATATCCGTGATGCGTCTTGGGTTTACACTGGTCCTCCTCCTCCTCCTCGTCCTCCTCCTGCTCCTCCTCCTCCTCCTCCTGGTCTCCGCCCTCCCTCGCCTTCTCCTCTCCTCCTCCCTCCTCTCCTCCTCATCCTCCTCCTCCCCCTCCTCCCTCTCACCTTCCCCTCCTTCTCCTCTTCCTGCCCCTCCTCCTCCTCCTCGCCGACCATGGCTGTGAGAATGCCAGGCGCTCCAAAGAAGAGAACGCTAGCGCGAACACAGATCTGGGAACCTCAGATCGCCTCGTTGATTCGACGCCTCTCGGCATCACTTCTGGCCCGCTGGCTGCCTTTGAAGAGACAAGAAAGAGAGATCGCCATCGACCATCAGGTTAAACTCGTTGAAGTCACCGTGAATGATACCAGCACGCGCCAGTCTGACCAAGAGCCTCATGAGGCGCTCGAGCACCTAATGGAACAGAAGAGGGCGACGTCCACGGCGACGACGACGCAAACAAAGAAGACGACGAGGAGGACAGCGAAGAGGGGCAGGGAGGGGTGGAACAGGAACGAAGGGCAGAGAGGGAGAGCGGGACGGAGGAGGAGGAGGAGGAGGAGGGGGAGGGGGAGATGGAGAGAGGGGAGGAAGAGGAGCAGAAGCAGATGGAGGTAGAGGTGTAGGGGAAGTCGAGTGAGGCAGTGATTGGGAAGGGGGTGGCCTGGACCACTGCTGCGCAAGCCTGTGCATCCAACAATCTGAAGTCGCCATCGCATCCATGGACCCTGCTGGCTGGTCTCCCAGACAATGGCACCGCCAAGAAGAACCCACACACACACACACACACACGAAGTCAAAACGAGGAGCCAAAGAGCATCAGTACAGAGTGGCGTATGTGGCCCCCCGAACACGGGCGGCCACACTGCCGCTCGAGCCTTTACCAAAGTGGCGCAGAATAGAGAAAAATAATAATATAATACTGCCGCTCGAGCCTTTACCAGAAGTGGCGCAGAATAGGGGGGGAAAAAAATATTATTACTATTGAATAAATACAGAATTTAAACCAATATATATATATTATATATATATATATATATATAGATATATATATATATATATATATATGTTGTTTACAATATACAATCAAAAAAGTCACACTTCCTTGAAAAATTGTCCCACACACGATCCCGTTACCCTGATGCGAAGCGAAGCCAACGCCGGAGTCGTGCGCGCCCCTCTGCGGAGCCCGCCCGCACCCGCGAGGGCACGGCGTGGATGCCGTGGCCTCGAAGATGTGATGGTGCAGGAGGACCCGCTTGGCAACCACCGTTCAGTTTGGGGGGCGGAAAGATACGGATACGTGTTGTCCCCGGACCTCTCTTGGGGTGCGTTCTGACCAGAATTTCGAGGCGAATCCAGCGGTGACAACGAGGATTCCCCAGGAGGACCAGGAAAGGCCGAAAACAAAGGGGGACAACACGTATCCGTATCTTTTTCTCCCCCGATCAGTGCTCCCGGCGGCTGACGACCATCGCGAGCCGTGTGAGCTTCTGTGCTCGTCGCGTCGTGGCTCGCTCGCTGCCCGCACCCGGCCCTGCCCGGCCTCGGCGATCGCAGCGGCGCCCGTGCAGGCCTGCGGGAGCGCGGCCGCCCGCCGCGCACGGAGGGAGCGAGAGACGCATCCAGCGGACTCCTGGCCCCGACGGGCAGCGGCAGGCCGCCCACGTCGCACCCTCAAGACTCCCCCTAGGAGGAGGAGGAGGAGGAGGAGGAGGAGGAGGAGGAGGAGGAGGAGGAGGAGGAGGAGGAGGAGGAGGGAGGAGGAGGAGGGGGGAGGAGGAGGAGGAGGAGGGAGGGAGGGAGGAGGAGAGGGGAGGAGGAGGAGGAGAGGAGGAGGAGGAGGAGAGAGGAGTGGAGGGAGAGGAGGGAGGAGCCCCCGGCCCAGAGCGAGGGGGGCAGCCGGCCTCTGCGGACGGCGCCCGGCCACCTGCGCGCAGCCCCGCCACGGCGCAGTGTGCCACTAGGGGGGCGGAGGCCGCCGAGGAGAGCCGCGCGGCCGCGCGGCCCGCTCCGCCCCGCAGGCGCCGCCCTCCTCCCTCCCCTCCTCCTCCTCCGCCTCCTCCTCCTCCTCCTCCTCCTCCTCCTCCTCCTCCTCCTCCTCCTCCTCCTCCTCCTCCTCCTCCTCCTCCTCCTCCTCCTCCTCCTCCTCCTCCTCCTCCTCCCCTCCTCCTTCCTCCTCCTCCTCCTCCTCCTCCTCCCTCCTCCTCCTCCTCCTCCTCCTCCTCGTGTCTCGGCGGCGAAACGCACGACCGAGGGGCGTGGTCGCTGCCGTCCCTCTCCCGGCCCCCCGGGCAAGCCAGGCGCCTGCCCCAGGCCCGTGGGCCCGGTGCTCTCGTCGACCGCGCGTGCGCCAGGCGTGCGAGGCACTCGGCGCGCCTTTGCCAGAGGGCGGCGCCGTGGTGCAGTGCGTGTGTGTGTGTGTGTGTCAAGGGGGGGGGGGGAGGGAGAGAGGGGAGGGAGGGAGGGAGAAAGAGGCGAGGACACCGAGGGAGGGAGTGAGGAAGAGACACGAAGAGGGAAGATGAGGAGAGTGCGTGAGTGAGAGACAGCGGAGAGAACGAGAGACGAGAGCGAGAGAGTTTCAGCAAGAGAGAGAGAGAGAGAGAGAGAGCGGGAGAACGAGACAGAATGCGAGAGGGAGAGAGGTGAGAGCATGAGGCAGACGGAGTATGGGGAAAAGGATGCACCGCATGAGGCTGCTTCAGCGACCGAATCCTGTACAGCGGCACGGCGTCCAGGTAACTCATTACGACCACATGGCGGTTCTGGTCGATGGGGACGGGCACCGGGAAGCCCTCGTCCTTGAGCGCCTGGCCATTCCTCCTCTCCCCCACTCGGGCACACGCTAACATGGATTAGGGATCCGTGGATATGGCGCGTAAGCACCAGATCCAAGGTTCGGGGAGCTGTTAACCCCCACAACATGAACGCTGCCCGCGCGCCGATTTCTTCCGGACACGGGACCCGTCGCTCATCCACGCGACTCGATCCACGTTGGCGCTTCCTCGATCCTCCCTCTTCATTCCCTCCCCCCTCTTCCCTCCTCCGCCTCGACCTCCATCCCTCTTCAGTCTTCGAGGCGAGCCCGGGGGCAAGTGGGAAGGCGCGGGCCTTCTCAGAAGGCTCGGAGGGCCTCGGGCCCTCTGAGAGAGCTTCACGGGCCTTCCCCGAAGACGGAGACAACCTCTCAGCAGGCGCGAGGGCTTCTGAGAAGAGCCCCGCCAGCTCTCAGTGGGCCCTGGAAACGACACGGCCGTTCTTTTACTGGTTCCGTTGTGCTGTTTTTTTGCTGGTTCCGACGGCGCTTTTTTTTACCGGTTCCGTCGCCGTTTTTTGACCGGTTCCGGCCCCGGTTCCACGTCTGGAGCCGTTTTTTGCCGTTTCTGGTCGCCTTTTTGGGCCGTTTCCATTTTCAAGGGGCACTTTCTCGAAAACGGTGAAAAAACGGCCCTGCCATTTCCGGGGCCCACTAAGCGCCAGCTTCTGAGAAGGCCTGCTCCTTCTCTAGGGGGGGCAAGACATGGCATGAACGTAAAAACTCGGAGGACCGCGCGGATTTCTCGCATCGGCGCTGGGCCCCCCTCCCTGGCGCCGGAGGCGCCGCCAGAGGGGTCCAGCACGGATCCGAGAAATCCGCGCGGACCTCAAATGTTTCCCCACATCCTGAGTGGGATTCTTGTTTTCCTAGACCACCCTCTCCTTCTCCTTCTCCTTATCCTTCTCCTTCTCCTCCTTCTCCGCTTCCTTCACCTATACCATACCATACCTGCCACGCCCTACCAATACCATACGTACTATACCATTACGTGCTATACCATACCATACCCTACCATACCATACGTACTGTGCTATACCATACCTGCCATACCAGACCTATCGTATTACCTGCCATCCCCTACCATACCATACGGCACTATAATATACCAGAACTGCCAAACCATACTATTTACAAGGTTTGGTGCCCCTCCCACCCCTCCAGGGAGGCCCCGCCTGAGCGAGGAGGGTATCCAAAAACAATATTATTTACAAGGTTTCGTGCCCCTCCCACCCCTCTAGGCAGGCCCCGCACGAGCGAGGAGGTTTCGTGCCCCTCCCACCCCTCTAGGCAGGCCCCGCACGAGCGAGGAGGGTATCCCAAAACCATACTATTTACAAGGTTTCGTGCCCCTACCAGCCCTCTACGCAGGCCCTGCCTGAGCGAGGAGGGTATCCCGAAACCATATTATTTACAAGGTGTCGTTCCCCTCCCACCCCTCCAGGGAGGCCCCGCCTGAGCGAGGAGGGCATCTACTATTTACAAGGCTTCGTGCCCCTCCCACCTCTCCAGGGAGGCCCCGCCCGAGCGAGGAGGGTATCCCAAAACCATAACAAAATTACAAGGTTTCGTGCCCCCCCCATCCCTCCAGGGAGGCCCCGCCAGAGCGAGGATGGCATCCCAAAACCATATTATTTACAAGGTTTCGTGTCCCCCCCACCCCTTCAGGCAGGCCCCGCCTGAGCGAGGAGGGCATCCCAAAACCATAACAATTTACAAGGTTTCGTGCCCCTCCCACCCCTCCAGGGAGGCCCCGCCTGAGCGAGGAGGGTATCTCAAAACCATGTTATTTAAGGTTTCGTGCCCCTCCCACCTCTCCAGGGAGGTCCCGCCCGAGCGAGGAGGGTATCCCAAAACCATAACAATTCACAAGGTTTCGTGCCCCTCCCACCCCTCCAGGGAGGCCCCGCCTGAGCGAGGAGGGTATCCCAAAACCATGTTATGTCCCCACATGTTTCGTGGGGTTTTGGTTTTCTTCCCACCCGCGCCGCACCCGCGTCTCACCCACACCCGCCCTCCTCCCCTCCTCCTCCTCCTCCCCCTCCTCCTCACGCACACAGCACAGCGCAGCGCAGAGCAGCGCAGCACAGCACAGCACAGCACAGCACAGCACAGCACATCACAGCGCAGCGCACACAGCACAGCACAGCACAGCACAGCACAGCACAGCACAGCACAGCACAGCACACCACAGCACAGCACAGCACAGCACAGCACAGCACAGCACAGCACACACACACACACACACACACACACACACACACACACACGGTTTGGCACGTGCGGCACATTCTCGACGCCATAGGGGTCGTCCACGGCACAGCAGGCGTGGCAGTTTTGCACAGCACACCTGCACAGCACAGCACAGCATAGCACAGTACAGCACACCGCAGCACAGCACGGCACGGCACAGCACAGCACATCGCAGCACAGCTCAGCACAGCACAGCACACAGGGCAGGCGCGCAGGGCACGGCACGGCAGAGCGTGGCAGGGGTGCGTGGCCACTTTCTCGACACCACAGAGGGTGCGCAGGGGGTGGTCCCTGAGCTCGGCCGCTATGCACGACGGTCGTCCAGGCACAGCAGGCGTGGCACGTTCTCGACACCATGGGGGTGCGCAGGGGGTGGTCCCTGAGCGCGGCCGCTATGCACGACGGCCGCCCAGGCACAGCAGGCGTGGAACTTTCTCGACACCATAAGGGGGTGCGCAGGGGGTGGTCCCTGAGCTCGACCGCTATGCACGACGGTCGCCCATGCACAGCAGGCGTGGCACTTTCTCGACACCATAAGGGGGTGCGCAGGGGGTGGTCCCTGAGCTCGGCCGCTATGCACGACGGTCGTCCAGGCACAGCAGGCGTGGCAATTTCTCGACACCATAAGGGGGTGCGCAGTGGGTGGTCCCTAAGCTCGCCGCTATGCACGACGGTCGTCCAGGCATAGCAGGCGTGGCACTTTCTCGACACCACAGGGGGTGCGCAGGGGGTTGTCCCTGAGCTCGCCGCTATGGAAGACGGTCGTCCAAGCACAGCAGGCGTGGCACTTTCTCGACACAACAGGGGGTGCGCAGGGGGTGGTCCCTGAGCTCGGTCGATATGCACGACGGTCGTCCAGGCACAGCAGGCGTGGCACTTTCCCGACACCAGAGGGGGTGCGCAGGGGGTGGTCCCTGAGCTCGGCCGCTATGCACGACGGTCGTCCAGGCATAGCAGGCGTGGCACTTTCTCGACACCATAGGGGGTGCGCAGGGGGTGGTCCCTGAGCTCGGCCGCTATGCACGACGGTCGTCCAGGCACAGCAGGCGTGGCATTTTCTCGACACCATAGGGGGTGCGCAGGGGGTGGTCCTTGAGCGCGGCCGCTATGCACGACGGTCGTCCAGGCACAGCAGGCGTGGAACTTTTTCGACACCAGAGGGGGTGCGCAGAGGTGGTCCCTGAGCTCGACCGCTATGCACGACGGTCGCCCAGGCACAGCAGGCGTGGCACTTTCTCGACACCATAGGGGGTGCGCAGGGGGTGGTCCCTGAGCTCGGCCGCTATGCACGACGGTCGTCCAGGCACAGCAGGCGTGGCACTTTCTCGACACCACAGGGGGTGCGCAGGGGGTGGTCTCTCACCGCGGCCGCTATGCACGACGGTCGTCCAGGCACAGCAGGCGTGGCACATTCTCGACACCACAGGGGGTGCGCAAGGGGTGGTCCCCAGAGCTCGGTCCGATATGCACGACGGTCGTCCAGCCCCAGCAGGCGTGCACTTTCCCCCGACACCAGAGGGTGGTGCGCAGGGGGTGGTCTCTCAGTTCGGCCGCTATTCACGACGTCGGCCGTCCAGGCATAAGCAGGCGTGGCCTTTCCTCGTACACCAATAAGGGGTGGCAGGGGGTGGTGCCCTAGCGCGGCGTCTATGCAACGACGGTCCGTCCGCCGCCGACCGCCTCCTAGCCGCGGCGTCGTCGTCGTCGTCGCCGTCGTCGACGATTGTTGGAGTGACTCATCTGGTTGGTCTGGCTGGTCTGCTTGATTGGCCTGGCTGGCTGGTCTGATTACTTTGGCTGGTTGTGGCTGGAATGACTGATCTGACTGGTCTGGTCAGTCTGGCTGGTCTGGCTCAAAAAGGCGAAGCGGGATGTGACATGGTTTGTGAACACACGTGACATAAAATAAGTATGTGGGGTTCCTCGGTAGCGTAATTACAAGGTTTCGTGCCCCTCCCACCTCTCCAGGTCCCGCCCGAGCGAGGAGGGTATCCCAAAACCATAACAATTTACAAGGTTTCGTGCCCCTCCCACCCCTCCAGGGAGGCCCCGCCGGAGCGAGGAGGGTATCCCAAAACCAAACTATTCACAAGGTTTCGTGCCCCTCACAACCCTCCAGGGAGGCCCCGCCTGAGCGAGGAGGGTATCCAAAAACAATATGATTTACAAGGTTTCGTGCCCCTCCCACCCCTCCAGGCAGGCCCCGTCTGAGCGAGGAGGGTATTCCAAAACCATACTATTTACAAGGTTTGGTGCCCCTCCCACCCCTCCAGGGAGGCCCCGCCTGAGCGAGGAGGGCATCCAAAAACAATATGATTTACAAGGTTTCGTGCCCCTCCCAGCCCTCTACGCAGGCCCTGCCGGAGCGAGGAGGGCATCCCAAAACCATAACAATTCACAAGGTTTCGTGCCCCTCCCACCCCTCCAGGGAGGCCCCGCCTAAGCGAGGAGGGTATCCCAAAACCATGTTATTTCGTGCCCCTCCCACCCCTCCAGGCAAGCCCCGCCTGAGCGAGGAGGGCATCCCAAAACCATAACAATTTACAAGGTTTCGTGCCCCTCCCACCCCTCCAGGGAGGCCCCGCCTGAGCGAGGAGGGTATCCCAAAAGCATACTATTTACAAGGTTTCGTGCCCCTCCCACCCCTCCAGGGAGGCCCCGGCACCGAACGACGTCGACACCATCCTCCTCGTGAACCATTGCCATCATCACCATTTCTTTCTTCCACGCCTTATCGGTATTCC